TAGACAGGTCATCGCATATTGAAGAGCATATGCAACCACAAAAGGACTGCGGTAGCGCGGAAAATGGGAGTGGGAGGTTCGTATCGGATGGCATAATAAAAATTGCTCATCATTTCACATTTGCCCGATAAAAAGAGAAATCTGTATCCATTTAGCCAGCTCTTGATCACCAATATCACACATGAGTTTCTGGCTGATGGAAGTATTGCATCTCTTTTCCCAACCCCTTCGGCTCCTTCCTTAGATATCTCCACACTTTTTCTGCATTATCTTATAAACCATGTCTTTCAATGCAACTTTTCATCTGTAATCCACTTTGTTAAATTTCTCCACTCTTCTCTCTCATTAACTCATAAGCTATGTCTTCCGCCCCAATTTCTTACTCTGCTCTATGTCTTCCTTGTCGAAGGAGCACATAGTCGCTACCAGTGCATTCGCGCCATCCCATGACTATCTCTTCCCCCGCCTCTGTCGCAAGTCACTGCGGCGGCGCGGAATCTTTGGGGTGGAATTCTATGTATCTCATCGTAATTACGCTAATCATTTCATTTTGCCCGATATAATCTAGTGTCATCTCTTTGACCCTTGGTCGCCAATATCACATCACCTGAAGAAGGTATTGCTGTTTTCTCTAGACCCTGCTTCTCCTCAATTACGCATGGATGTCCCTCTGCTTCATAAACTCGTATTTCCCCCACAATTTCTCGCTTTGCCATCGCCGTATTTTTCTACGACTTCCTAGCCGGCGCCTTTATTGTCTACACCCCGTCCCTTGTCCATCTCCTCCGCTTATACCCCAAGTGACAGCAGCGGTGCAGAAAATTTGGAGTAGAAAGCAAAGCACCTAATGTTAAGAATCAGTTGTAATTTCATCTTTGCCTGGTGTAGTCTAATCTATCCCTCTCACACTTGGTCGCCAAGTTCGCATCGGGGTTGTGCCCTGATAAAAATACTGCAATTTTCTCCAACCCCATCTTCTTCTCTATTAGGCGTCAACATCGTTCTCCGTCACTGCCTCAGAAACTGTGCTTTCCGCCCCAGTTTCTCGCTCTGCCATCTCCATATTCATTCGCACCGTCTCATCCCGCACCATTGTCTCCGCGCCATCCCTGAACCATCTCCTCCGCTTCCACCGCAAATGACTGCAGCGGCGCGGCGCAGCGCGCGGAGTCGGTCACGGCGCGGCGCGGCGCTGAGTGAGAGGGGGCGGGGCGGGGCGGG